GTTTTGCCATTGCCTTCTTCTGTGTGTGCATGGAGTAATTGTTGGGATGCCACGGAGGAAAACTCCGTTTTGCCTAGACCACGGCCTTGCCCAACACAAGTTATAAATTCGGGCACCGCCGGGAATCGAACCCGAGACCCCAGGATTACAAGGCCAGCGTTCTAACCGCTAGACCACCGTGGCGGTTGTTTGTTAGTAGAGAAGAATAATTATTTTGGGGTATTGTAAGCGAAACAGAAGGCAGCCGATTGTAAAGGAACTGGCAGAAAATGAATGCAGTCGCGGGATGATCGAAAATTTCTGACGCGCGTTCTGTTTGCCAAGAAAGAAAAGAAATTGCGTCGAAGCCAGAGAACAAAAACCAGTCTTTTAACCACGGCGTTCAGCAGCGATTCGTGCGAAAATTTACCGTCAGGTGTCACCAGGCGAAATTTTGTCGATTTGTTTGGCACAGATGAATCGAGAACTGCAACACTAAACTCCTTCTGGAAACTGAAGAACGAGATGCCAGGCTGTGTTCAAAAATGCATTCGTGAAAAATACTTCCTTTTGGAGCAGGTTCCAACCTTACGTGACCTGCGTGGGCTCTTGATTTGTCACAGCGACATTATGTTTATTAAGCCAGTCAAATTGTATTGAATTTCAAACGTCAACAAATATTTTAACATGGGTTGCGCGAGTTTTAGATGAGAAGAGTCACCCTGTCGTTTTATGATGTACAAAATAGTTCATACAGACATTTCCTATTACCTGTAGCGGACAGGCCTGTTTGTAGCGTAACTTTTAGTTAAATTACAGCATTCACTAACTTAATCCGTTTCTCTCTATGAGATGAGCTTTTGGTCAAAGTTCAGTCCTAACAGATGAGAGTTTTTATTAAATGTCTATTTATTATTCCACTTTAGGTTAGCAAATATGCTTCGCAAGAGTGATAAGAATTGTTCCCTATCAACCCTGATGACGAAGACAGCAGGTAACGACCTATATTGCCGCATGTGGACACAGGAGAATCTAGCTTTTGACGGCTGTGTCTGATCCAAAATCTGTCGACTCTTGTCGTGCACAGACCGCGTGCCATCTTAGCTAAATAAGTGCAGGGGCTCTTTGCTCTCTTGGAGTTACTCCCAAGTTGATCCAATAGTTTCCACTTAGCTCTCCAGTGATGGCTGACGGAGAACCACCCGTCTCATTTGCGAAGGACACCACAGAGGGGGGTAGTAGTAGACAGCGTTCTCACAGGCAAACTCTTTCCAGAATTTTGCACTTATAGGAGTGTTTTACTTTCGTTATTCTAAAAATATGAATAAAATCGTTTTCTTATTTCAGATTTGGAATTTACCCACAGAAATGAAATTTGTTTTGATCAAAGATATTTAATCGTACTGTAGAAAATCTTTATGTAATTGTATGATCATTATCGTGAGTTATCTTGAGTCACTGCCGAGTGTTTGTAGAAATTATCTTTTCCACAATCACAGGGCACAAATTACTGCAGAAGGGGCTTGAACTTAGGACACGTGTTACAGAAGCATCAAAGTGCTCCAGTTTGCGTGAGATCTATCGTAACAGTATGCACACACGTGTGGCCGGTTGAAGTACAACAGTCAAGTCATGGAGGCTCATTTACGAATTTGCTTCACAGCCCGAACTTACGAATGCGACGGAGGAAAGAACATTGTCCCGCATTAACTCGAGTTAATATTTCTTGCAAAAAATTCTCACCCCGAGATATCTCGGGATAATCAGGGAAGCGGTTAATTCCAGTGACACCAAAGCCGAAAAAATCATTCATCAATCCATTAAAACGCTATGAAAATGAATTTGTCACCAATTTTTCATTTTCAACAGATCAGTCGGAGATGTTGAGGGTAAATGCCATTTGGGAGACCTAAGGAAAGATGGAGGACAGTACAGAAGCCGGATCTCACTGAAATAGCGTGTGTTTTAGTGGCTCAAGATACGCGGTCTGGGCCGACGGGCTGTAGGGAACGCGGGTGGGGTGGGGGGCGGGCATCTGTTGGGCAGGTGAGCAACTGTCAGCTCTTCTCCTCGTGTGTTGCAGGTCGCTGCCCAAACTCAGCAGCCAGGACGAGGACGGGCCGACCCCGCACGGTCAGTTCACAGGGGTTCAGCACTTCGAGCCGATCCCTCACGACCACGACTTCTGTGAACGGGTCGTCATCAACGTGAGTTACACACACATTATCAGTTCCTCTTCGTTTTCTTCGCATCGCACGTCTCAGGTCCCCGACACCATGACATTTGACCTCTCTGAATTTTGAGTTTGTTTTTACGTGTCATTGCGACTAAAAACTTTAACATCCAACTTTGTCGTTTTAAACTTGTAAGAATTAACTTGCAATCACTGTAGGATACATTTTAGGTACGGCGAAGGCTCCTTCGCTATACTTCGATGCAACTGTTTTCTTTGCTGAATCCCATATCCTCGTTGAACTACGTGGTTCAAAGTTCCCATTAAAATAATGAGTTCATACTATGGACACCGTAACTCTCTCTCTCTCTCCCTGAGACGTTCAGTTTTAATTTTCGTTTAACTTGTCTGGCACACACGTGCATTTGAGCCAAGTGGTTGTAGGATCGCCAACTTAAAATTTATTACGTGACTGATGGCATTAGGTTAATTCATTGTGATAAATGTATTAGCCTAAATGTCTAATGTTTCCCACTGCCAAAATCTGCAATCTACAAGTCCGAGAATGTCATGTGCTCAACATATACACAGCCTTCCACGAAACGTCTGCGAAACTTTACGTGCTTACACCTTGGATTTTCTGACATTTTTTTTTAAAACATTATGCCGTTCCGCGTTCATGAATGGACGAAAATATAGGAAACTCAGAGGGACAATTACACCGAATTAAATTATTTTAATTGAAGAAATGAATCAGCCGCATAGGTTAGGTTATTCTACGCGTCTGTGATGAAAGTTGTGGCGTATCAGACGCACGCAAGCTGCTTGCCCTTCGAACTAACCTTCTGCATTGGCTCTGTACAAATGAGCTCGTCTTAAATCATCGCGTGTCCAGTTTGATTGTTCCGTCTGAGAACAGCGCCGCTAGAGTTCTGATGCACACCTCCACGACCAATCCTCCATAGCAACACTTCACTCCGACATCAGGTAGATCGCTGTCTTCATCCCGGCCTGGAGATGAACGTGTTCCAAAAGAAGTGCAGTCTGCTGTTGAACGTCCCTCAAGAACGAATGATCGAACTGGTTAGATTATAAATAATAAAATACTGCAATTTCCACTGTTCAGCGAAGAAGCCGAATCACTTTCCGACAGGAGATCACGTTTGCCTGACAACCCTATCGTGGATACTGATGTTGTTGAACGCGTCTTTGTCGCCTCTTACGCTCTCCCACGCAGGACAAAACAAAAGATTCTCTCTCTTCGTATGACCGCCCGTGCCGTTTATGCACTTCGCGCCACTCGTTTGTGATCGTTTACGTAGGACATTGCCAAAGACCCTGAGAGGTTTGGGCCACAACAGTTTTTCTGCGAGCTGTTTCAGTAGGAGGCGAGCGCATGTGCGGAAATTTCACCGCTACGGTTTTCCTGCCGCAACATTCTTCATTTTCGATGTGCGGTAGCCGCACAACTATTGGCGGTGGCAATATAACACGAAGAAATCTACTTGTGTGCGCGCACGAACATGTCTGTTTCATGTCAAGGTCACCATAATATCAGTCCGAGGTTAGCAGGATACAGGCGTTTTAAGTTTTGAAGGTAATTCTGAAGTCAATTACTCAAAGGCATATCCGCCGATCTGTAGGAATCTGAGTGACAATACTCGTGTCAGCTTGAGGTCACAGACTGGTCAGTGTCATGTCAAGGTCACGACAGTATCAGTCCGAGAGTTAGCTGTATAGAGGCGATTTAAATTTTCAAGGTCACTTGAAAGTCAATCTTGCAAAGGCATATTTCTGACGATCTGTTTGAATCGGGGTGACAATACTTGTCGGATTTCGGTCACAGTCAGGTCAGTGTCATTTGAAAGTCACCACAATATCAGTCTGATTGTTTAGCGAATAGAGGCCTTTGAAAATTTCAAGGTCATTCGTCACTAATTTTTTCAAACGCTTATATTTGCCGAACTGCATGAAAGTGAATGAAAATATTCATGTCAGTTAGAGGTCTACGTCACCTCAAGATCATGACATGATCAGTTCAAGGTTTTGAGGAGTAAACGCCTGTAAATTTCCCAAGCTCACTTCAAGAACTTTTATCACGCTTACATACACCTAACTGTATTATTGTAATCATGTTATATTGAAGCAAATTATAGATAAACTTTATGCCCTAGTCAGGGCAACAACATTACAAAAGATGATGCTTCTTGAGTAAGGTTAGGTTGTGTTAGCATAGCATAGCTTGGGTTACGTTGGGTAAGGTTAGGTTAGCTTGGGTTAGGTTTGGTTACGTTATGTTAGGGTGGGTTAGGTAAGGTTAGATTAGGTTTAGTTAGGTTAGGTAATATTGTGTTGGGCTAGGTTGTGTTAGGTTAGTTTAGTTAAAGTTATGGTTTCAGAAGCAGTATCCTGGAGACTTCCTATCGCGTTGATCTGGTGGACGTGTGGGTATCCAGGAAATGTGCTGGAGAAATCCTATGGAAGTCTTTCAAATCATGTAGATGTTCTGCTTAAGCCGTTGAGAAGAGTTTGAGAAATCCTGGGGATGTGCTCGAGAGCTTCTGGAGAAATCCTAGATAGGTGTTGGAAAGCTATATAGAGGTTCTATAGAATTCCTTGAGCCGTTTTGGAGAAATACTGGAGAAGTGCTGCAGAAATCCTGGAGAGGTTTTCTGGAGGTCCTTATACGTTGATGTATTTGTTCGAATGCAGTTCTGTTATGTAAGATTCGGTTATGTTGGAATGGTTTAGGTTACATTAGATTAGGTTGCGTTGTTTTGGGTTGGGTTAGGTTAGGTTTAGTTAAGGTAAGTTAGGTTTAGTTAGGTTATGTTATATTATGTTAGGTTAGGTCATGTTGTGTTAGGTTTGGTTAGTTAAAGTTATGGTTGTAGAAATTGTTCAGTACTTTCCTGGAGAAATCCTATCGTGGGTATCTAGTGGACGTGTATATATCCCGGAAAATTTCTGGAGAACTGATAGAGAAATTCTGGAGAAGTACTGGAGAAATCCTATGGAGGTGTTTAAAGTCATGTAGATGTTCTGCATAAGCCGTTGAGATGATTTTGAGAAATCCTGGAGAAGTGCTGGAGAGCGTCTGGAGAAATTCTGAAGAAATCCTAGATAGGTGTTGGAAACCTATATAGAGGTTCTTTGGAATTCCTTGAGCCGTTTTAGAGAAATCCTGGAGAAGTCCTGGAGAGGTTTTTTGGAGGTTCTTAGGCGTTCACGGGTTTGTTCGAATGCGGATCTGTTATGTTAGATTCGGTTATGTTGAATGGTTTAGGTTGCATTGTTTTGATTATGTTAGGATAGGTTAGGTTTGGTTTAGTTAGGTTAGGTTAGGTTAGGTTATATTGTGTTAGTTTAGATCATGTTGTGTTATGTTAGGTTGGCTAAAGTTGTGGTTTTGGATATGGTTCAGTATTTTCCTGTAAAATTCCTATCGTGTTGATCTGGTGGACGTGTATATATCCTGGAAAATTGATAAAGAAATTCTGAAGTCCTGGAGAAATCCTAGAGGAGTGTTTTAAAATTCATGTAGATTTTCTGTGGAAGTCCTTGATAAGAGTTTGAGAAATCCTGGAGAAGTGCTGGAGATATGCTGGAAAGGTCACAGACAGGTCAGTGCCACGTGAAGGTCACATAATCAGTCCGAGGGTTTGCCGGATAGAGAATTTTTAAGTTTTCAATTTCATTCGAAAATCAGTTTTTCAAAGACATATGTCTTACGATCTGTTGTAATCTGGGTGAAAATACTCTTCTCAGTTTTAGGTCATAGACAGGTCAGTGCCATGTGAAGTCCACCACACTATCAGTCCCAGGGTTTACCGAATAGAGGCCTTTGACATTTTCAAGGTCATCCGTCAGTCATTTATTGAAACGCATATTTCTGCCGATCTCTATGAAACTGAATGAACGTATTCATGTCAGTTTGAGCTTCACCTGAAGATCAGGATAAGTTCAGTCCAAGGTTTTGAGGAAAATGGACCTTTAAAATTTCCAAGCTCACTTCATGAAAAAATTTTCTCATGCTTATACTATCTAACTGCATTAATATGTGTGACCATACTCATGTTTTTTAAACCACTCGGCCGTTTTCCTGCGTAAGCGATTAAATGCTAGCGGTGCTTGGAGCGTTGGCAACGCGGAAATATTAAAGTGTCTGTTTGTGTGTCCATGTCCTTGGTACCGTTGATGCGGCTGTGGAAGCTTGGCGGCGGATTTCTAAGTATCAGTCTTTTGGTTTTCCGAATAGAGGCTTTTAAATTTCCCAAGGTAATTCCGAGGTCATTTTTTCAAACGCATATTTCTGCCGATCTGTAGGATTCTGAGTGTCAATACACGTGATAGTTTTGAGGTCACGGACAGTTCATCGTCACGTCATAGTCACGACTTTACAAGTCCCGGGGTTTTCCGGAGAGGCCTTTAAAGTATTCAAGGTCATTCGAAAGTAATATTTTCCAACGCATATTTCTGCGGATCTGTAGGAACCTGAATGATTGTAATATTGTCAGTTTGAGGTCATGGACAGGTCAACGTCACCTCAAGAACATAAGAAGATAAGTCCAAGGTTTTCAGGAATATAGGCCTTTAAATTTTCGAAGCTCAATTCAAGAACAGTTTTTCTCAGGCTTATATCTACCTAACTTTATTAAACTTAGTGTCCATAATTATGTTAGTTTGAAGCCACTTATAGATAAACTTCATACGTAAGTCAGGGCAATTACATTCCAAAAGATGGGGCTACTTGAGAAGGATGGATTCGGTTAGTTTAGGTTAGGTTAAGTTAGGTTAGGTTAGTTTAGGTTAGGTTTTGTTGGGTTAGGTAAAATTGTACCGACTCCGACCTCCATATAAAATCTTAAGAACAATTTCTATACCGTGTGAGCTGCCGGGGGACTCACGCTTTGAGAGATTCAACGACGCGTTGAGCCACGTCGTGTGGGGATAATGCTTTGTAGCTTTGGCTCCGGTACATTAAGAATAGTGTCTAAATACAAATCAACCGATTTCAGCAATAACCATTAGACG